TTTCGATGCTTAAAAACCTAGTGTTACTTGCCTTAATATTATTACCCTGATTGCTACGCTTCGACAAACAATTCAGCCCATTTTCCAGCCATTAGGTGAATTAGATGTAATGTACTTATTATATGTCTGAGACATTGAACTCGCCTACTTTTGAACAATGACCAAGTATGTTAATCTCTCTTATCTATCCCCTATCTTCGGGTCATCTTAGTTAATTTACAATTAGTCAGCTAGAATTTATTTACTCTGAACAGATGTTACATGTACTGGGCGATAAGCTACACTTATTGTATGTATGTGAAGGCTCATGAAAGTACCCACTCTTCCAAGATGAAGTAGATATAGAGTGGAATTCAAAAGTGAGATGACAGATGAAATTCTTAAGTCAGTGAGGCACATCCCCAATATACACAGTTACAATGTGATTTCTGAGAGATTTAAAGTAGTAATGAGAACTATTGATAATCAAATGGAATTCCATCTTAACGTGTAATAAGACGGAATCATTCATATACTTACTAATAGTCGTATGATATAACAATACCCATACTTTTTAAAAAATACCGCATATGAATTCAAAAAGAAAGTCGAATTGTACAATTCTGTCCTACTTGATATCACATTTCAAAAAAGATTTACACTACTGCAAATCTTTGAATACAAGTTGAACATAAATAGATATTGAAACTAAAAAGGTTTAATTATGTATACCGAAGAGTATTTTGAACAAATTATAAGACTATTAAATTGAATGTTCACGTCGTAGCAGAATTCAAACTATCAGTCATTATTTCAGTAGCCTAGAATTCTGACGTCTGTATCCCGTGGCATTAATCGGTTTGACAATTTCAGGTAGTTCTATCACAATAAGAAAAACTAGCGAATTAAACAGAGAAAAAGTAGAATAACTATACCGTCGGTCACACGTATGATGAACACGCTGACACTGAGATAAACAACTGGGACCAAAGTAGTAAGAAACGCTATTTTAATAACGCAAAGATTTTGTTTCTCATTCCTTGCATTCCGAGTAAAATATATGACTTCGGAGAGTGAACTTTCAGTATTAGTATTACACGATGGGGTCGCTAATCTCGTGTGCTCAACCTTCCTTCTTTTCAGGGTTCATTATCACCAGCTAAATACGGGGAATCGAACCCGAACCACCTTTACAACTAGCCAATGAACATTTTTCAATTGAGCGAAAGAGCTTTAATAACTTGCTACACATTTGTTGTAATCCATGAATAAAAATAACGAATTTATAGCATTTAAGAAGTGAGACGCATTCCATTTTTTATCCAAAACGAAGACATCTAGTAATGGTGTAACGGTAGAAGACAAGAAACTTGAGGAAGGAATCTTTATTTGGGATTCAATTTCTCTATATAGAGATGTGGTGAGAGCTGGCTGCTAGCCAAACTTGGTAGACAGTAATTGACGTCAATGTTTATGTCCCCAATATTGGTGGTGAGAAAATGAGAACAAAGGCTTTGCGTAGGCGGATTCAGTTAGCATATGGATGATCTGACACAGCCACAAAGAGATGCAAGGTTAACTTTCTGTGAGAAACAACCAATCAAAAGACTGTATTTTCTACTAACGATAATCTACAATAATGTACATTAAAATCTATAAATATGTGTTGATTTTCCTTAATAAACGATCTGTTGCCTGGCCCTTGTCTTCTGTTGTTACAGAGAAATTATGTACAACTTATCTCCAAATCATAATTTGTACAGATCTTCTATGTTGTGCTACTTCTACCCTTCCTGCGTATTGTGTTTCTTTGTCTTCCTTCTCACGTCTCCAGTGTTTTTCCGCAACACTGAATCATCATTTTTATCTCTTTTACTTCAAATCTGTCACCCTGTTGTTACTCGATATTTTTATGCCGATGAACGTCACTTGATATACTACTGATAAATCTTATCAGTAGCACACGGTACAACAGCGCATTGAATAATAAAGTAACAACCAACTGTACAAAGAATAATCGATAACTAGAATAAAGCGCTAGCAGTTATTATGAATACACCGATCATATCAGTTTTGTTAATACAAAACAAACTAGGATTTTAGCAGGAGAAAGAAGATTGATTATTTGGACCAGAGAGACAAGTAATCTGTGTGCATATATATACATATACATGTATGGTATCGTCCTTCTGAACAGTTTATTTGTCATTTTTTTGGGTCAGTTATGACAACAATCTGAGGAGTGAATATATACAACATATATCATATATATATGTAGAAAAAACATTGATTACACCGAACAAGTTTCACTAATCATAAACTGTTAGAGTATAGACATGTGTATACTGTTTAACAGTAAGATATGTGAAGTGAAGTACAGTAGGAAGATGTAGCGTATAATTCATAAGCAACAGCAGGAATTAACTATCCTTTTAGACGATTCAGTATAATAATAATAATAATAGTAATAATAAAATGATTGACTGGATAGACATTATACTGTATGTATGGCTAAAAACTAGTTAGTACTGAATGTTTGTATGCATGTACGTATGTTTTGTCTGATATTAAACAAGTTATTGGACAGAAGTAAATTCATTTCATTTGGGAATACAACTTTTATTCATACAATCAATAAACAGCTTAGTAAAATGCCATTTATTGAACACAGTTTTACGAAGGAAAAAAAAAAGTTAAATAATGAAAACGATAGATGAAAAGTATGAGTACGTTTCCAATCTTCCACTGACTGGTGAAACTAACACTGACTGAATGAGTTTACACCATGTTGTCTGTCTGTCTGGTTTCAACATAGAACTTTGCACCAATGTGAAGCAGTTCGAGTCGCCAGACTTCACTCAGCACACAAAACCAAAGAAGAAACGCAAAATAGAGACAGTAAACAGAGATATGAGGCAAAAAGAATAGTAATATCGAAGAACAATATAGTATTTATTGGAAATTATAAGTCACAAGGAGTGGATGCATCTGCACCAGCCATTGAGAGCGATTTTGAGCCATATCACCAATTGTCTCCAGCCTTCATTGGTTTTTACCGTCCCGAGGACCCCGACCAGGAAGTCTACATCTTCCTACGTGGCTTAAACTAACTATTTTGGATTTCATTGACTGATGCCATGTTAAAATCCATCTATGCCCTGACTCCAAGTCCTGTCAGTTCACTGTATTTATAGTAGCAGTGCCATCCAATCAATATCAGTAAACATCTGTCTTTACATCCAACTTGGTGAACTCTACAGACCACAATTTTTCATTAGAACTTTAAGACACCTGAACAGTATTATGCTATTGCTCATTAGTTTCAAACCAGGACAAAATAGCTGTTGAGTAATCCTTCGTTTCCGATGACTGACCAATTCATGCTGAAATCAATCAAATCGATAACATCTAAACAAATTGAAATGAAGTTTCCACAGAAACGCACTAGTTCAATTTGCTACATTCCTTGTACCACATAAAGGTTGAGAAAGATTAAAAAAAATTCAAGGGAATTATAATGAACAGAAAGAATAATTACACAGGGAATCATGAGGATTCAAAGAATAAATTTCCGCCATTGAGAAAGATTTTGAGCCATTGCCTGCTAGCATACCCTCCGCCCTGTGTGGCTCAAACGAAGAGTCAAGGACTTAATGGATTGATCTGACCAACCCCTTAACTCTTTTCCAACTTTATCATATGTCATCAGGCTAACACTGTTCGACGAGCAAGATGACCACTGTAATTCTAGAACACACTAGTAGGAAGGATACAATGTAATATTTTATTTATTTAAACGCATTAAAACTTGGTACAATATGGCACCAAGAAAGATGCGCCACACAATAATAATAAAATAACATAGATTAAAAGTAAAAAATATAAGTAGAAAACGGATAAAGAACTTCATCAGGAAGGAAAACAGTCATGTTTAACAAGATCAAACAACATTCGTTAACTGTCATCAGGAAGGGAAGAAAAAAGGAAATTGCAACACGTTCGCCACTGATTACGATTCTTGGCCATATCCGATAACGTTTCGAGCTATCTCGCGGACCCCAACCAGGGAGTCGTGACAAACCAACCGATGCTAATCTAGCACAAATATCCTTCATCCCACGACGCCACGTCATGGGCTGACCACCCTTCCGCCTTTTCCATCCCGTCCCAGGGATAGCGAACAGAGACCTGTACGGAAGCCTCTGGGATGACATTCGCAGCACATGTCTAAGCCTCCGGAGCTGGTGTTTCCAGATGACGACACTCAATGAATGGTGATCTCCACTGTGTTCAAACACACGCCGCCGAACCTCAGAATTACTCACGCGATGATGCCATCGAACGCAAGCAATCCTGCGGAGACAGCGATGATCGAACACGCAGAGTCGCCGCACATCCTCAGCTCGGAGAGGCCAGGTTTCACAGGCGTAGAGCAAGAGAGCCCGCACCAAAGCATTGTATACCCGACCTTTGACAGTCAGGCTAACGTCACCAGAGGTGGCACAAGTTTATGTATACCACCCTAGCCTTCATTGTACGGTTGGAAATCTCATCCGTCACCCCTCCGCCAGCATTCACACAACTACCCAGATACACAAACTTATCAACAACTTCAAGCGGTTCACCCGCAAGAGTGAGTGCAGGTACAGGCTCCTGCCAATCTTGTTACAGTACTTTGCACTTAGACGGTGCAAAGCACATATCATACTTACAGACACTGATACAATGTAAACCAGTAAACTAAATGAAAAAGTTGTAAGCAATTCAAATCACACAGTGATTACATCTACCAGAAATACACTTTACATAAAAACGACTCATTTAAAAAAAAACTACTTAGCCAGGAATTTCGTTAACCAACATATCTTCATAGCTGACCGATTGTTTTCAAGGGATAAATTAAAGTATCAGTATTCCGTGGAAAATAAATAAACAGCCTAACGCATTATCAAACACAGTAGTGTCCTGTCCAAACCAATGTTGGTTCACAACTTAAGAATGCTACTTTCAACCGTAATGGTTGGTTATAACCTACTAGTCGAATAAGCATAGAGTAGATCTGAGTGTTGATACACAGGATTCCACATACACACTTATACCAGAAGAAAGTTGAAGGCCGCCTACATAACAGATAATAAGTCACTTTCGATTCATATGTCCAAACCATTAGATCACAGGGTGTTTACCTTGAAGGCGATATAATACTCTTGATGTTGATTAGAACGACTCGTGAACACTAATATTAGAGACTAGTTTATCTCTTAAGCGTATCCCACTACCAATGCACGAATACTGACTGAGTTTCAATGATAGATGCTTGCAGAGAAGAGCACCAGTTGCCATATAGCACACAAAGGTAAGCAAAGGGAGAGAGAGAAGAAAGGGATTCAAAAGTACTATAAAATAAGCAGAATTGTGAGGGAGAAATAACAGTAACATGGAAACACATTAGGATTTAATGGATGTGGGAAAATACGCAAAGTAAATTCATCTACGCCATTGTAAACGATTTTAAGCCCTATCACTAGCTATTGGCTAAGATTCCTAACGATTCCAAACAGGCAGTCTGTACCTCCTTACATCGGTCAAAGACTTCGTGGACTGATGACAGATCTTGGTTTGACCACCTCTAATCCTATGTCAGCTAACATCACTCGTCGAGGAAGGCGATGGCTCAGCATGTGTAACATATATCCTAGCCATTTCAACCGATTCACTCATCACAATCTCATTGATTGACTCCTCCCCCTTACCTATCACACTCCACGCCTAACCTGAATATTACTCACCAACCACACCATCAAATCACTTAACCGCATGAAGACGGTTCTTAAAAAGCAAAATGTATACGTAAGAAAAAATAAATTTATTTCAAGTAAAATAGGAAAAAAAGAAGCGAAAACCTTCTTCCCCACGCCCCCACCCCCAAACCGTTGAAAAATAAACAAGACACACAGAAACACACACACACAACACCATACATAACACAAATTATTTTTCATCAATATTCTCAACGATAAGATGTGACACATACTACTTATTCACACTTTGATAGATAGAGAAAACAAAATATCAAAGAAGTAACAGTTAAATAATAATAATAATAAGAAGAAGAAGAAGAGATAATGGAGTATAGAGCAAAAAGAAAAGCAGATATTACGCTCACTAGTATACACACACAGAGAAAATAACAATCGATCAGAAGAACATCAGAACATGAGTATCTAGGCGGATAATATATGTATATATATATATATACCATTCAGTGTGTGCTTAATCTTCTAATGATGAAACTGAAAGTTTTGCTTCAAACAAACAATCACATAAGAAAGAAATTGAGTACATGAGACACCTAGTGTTGTATAGAAATGTTGAACTTATACATATATATATTCTCGATGACAAACAATAATAATAACAATGGTAACCTAATGTTATATATATTATATATATCCTGCTTTTTGTTATAGACGAAAAAGAGACAAATAAATGATGATAGTTAGATAGCTAGTGGTTATATTGCTTCTCTCTCTATACAACAGAGTGAACTCACAAAACTCTCACATGTGAACAACGAAAACAAATTTTAAAACTGACAGGATGGATACTACTACTTGTGGTGAAGTGAATAGTTAATATATAATATGACCAGAAATGTAAGATAGGCAAAATGAATAAATAAAATAAAATAAAGTCAACATTTGAACGCACAGATTGATTCATTTATTCATTCATTCAAACAATGAATGAATGAAAGACTTTTCTTTCTCAATGAAAAAAGAAGACGAATAAAAGAGATAATAAACTATATGTGAGGAGACTGAGAAGAATAAAATTAAACTTAATAAAACAAACAATAATAAACAACCAAGAAAGAGTTAAAATAAATTAATAAATAATACAGAGTAGGTATAAATAAATACTAATGTATGTATCTATACATAAACTGAGGATCAACTCTACACCATGAGATACATACACATTGTATCTGCAGATGTAGACTTACACTGAGATCAGGAGTTAAACAACAGTCTCTAATAATAGTGATCAATATATAAAAAGATAATGTTGTGATACCTGTTAAACAGGATGAATACCACCCACCCACACACACACTCTTTAATACATGTATTCACTGGGTATAAATCTTAGTAATGATAATTTAAAATCACCAGTTTCAGTTATCATCAAGGTATAAATAAGAGTACACAACTTCCATAATGTCAATCAACACAGAAATTCGCTAACTGACATGATGATATAACAATATTCCTTCTCAAAATAATGATGGCAATAACTATAATAATAGTAAAAAGTATATGAAAATATACAGTAGTAAAACAAACCATTAGTGTATACCACCAGAGGTAGAACACACCGTAAGCACACAGACACAGGAAGGATAAAATGCACAATAAAAATAATATGCGCGCTATACACACGCTAAGCACACAAAATAAAACAATCTAAAGAGTCGAAAAATAATAATAATAATTAAAATTGGCAAGGGTAAAAGAATTAGTACAGTTGTGTACAATATACATCTAATAATGATGAAAATATTTGTTGTTGACGTGTTTTTTGTGTTATTATCGCTGTTGTTATTGTTGTTGTTGTACCACTGGTAATGATACCTGATCACACAGGAGGCGCTTGTTTTGCCTACACTGTCCAACTGTTATCATCATCACCATCAGAAGAAGATGACGATGATGGCATGCATTCCATTTCATTATTTATTCTCCTTCCAGTTGACCACCACCATTATGCAGTTTTAATTTTCATGATGATTACATAATAATGAAGAGGGATCGATTGATGAAGTTGATAAATGCTTTTGGTTATTTTCACCATATTGTTCCCTACTCAAATCATCATTATTATCATTACAATTACTATTATTATTATTAGTGTTAGTAACAGTAGTTGTATGCAGAGAAGGATTATGCGTAGTGAATAATAATAACTTATCATATTCATTATTTGACCAATGAGAAGAAGAGATACCGTCATCATCACTACCACCCATGTCTATTGAATATAATACATTATCACAATGAGAATTCTTATTGGTATTACTATTAGCATTGGTTACTGTCGGTGGTGTTGAAGTCAATAAACAATTACTATTGGTGCAGCAAGTAGTAGTCAGAGTATTATTGGAAACATTAGTATTGACGAGATTATTATTATTATTGCCTGTGAAAAAGGGTACTTTGCCATTGTTGCCAAGTATAATACCATTATTTGCAAGATTTGGCAATAAACCATTTGTTCTGTTATTACTATTATTATTATTATTGTTATTCCCATTACGCGGCACAGATGGACATCGTATTATGCCTGGAGGAAGTTTATCTGTAGCTTCAGCAGGTAGATAATTCGGTGTAAATTCTAATAAGGCTGGATTATTATCCAGTTGTTTGCGTACAGCAGCTAAAGATTTTTTGACACGCATTGCTGACAGTCTAGCTGATGGACTAGCATACCAACATTCACTCATAATATCTTGTAATGCTCGAATAATTTCATGTTGTGACCATATAGCCGGTAGACCTGGACGTAGACCTTGTTCACAAACAATAGATTTCATTTCTTCAACCGAAGGATCAGCTGAAACAAGATCCTATAAAAATTTTTTAAAAAAAGTAGTAGACGGATCATTAAATATATATGAATCAATTAAGATCAAAGATTGATAGAATCACTAGAAAAGCCATGGAGTGCTGGAAAGCTACCCCGTCCTAGTTTGGAACTCCTCAGTAGTACGATCCCAAGGTAAGCTCATATACCATGCAGACACTTGGAACCAATTCGATGACCCATGGATTCCAACTTCTACTAATTCGTGATTTTAGCACGACCACCACCAGCCAGTGTTATCGGTGTGTATTTTGTTCTCGCACCCAACTTGGTGGAACCCGACGGTCAAGACTTCTCACTAGAACTCTAGGCAACTTCGTTCTCTAGCCAATCACTACCTACCTCTTGAAAGAAAAAAGGAAAAATACTATAAAAATATATAATAACGATCAGTACCAGGGAATGCACACATTACTTCAATGCACAACTTCCTGGGACAATTATCCAAAGTACAACTTATTAACACAAGCTATTGCAATGCATCCACCTGAAACCAATCTGGAAATCTTCGTCACTCAGCATCAACAACAAAATTCGGATTTTCAATACAAACGTCAAGTCAGTTCCTCTATACGGATCAGAAACTTGGCGGGTCACAAAGAATATTTCCAATAGGTTGCAGACCTTTATCAATTACTGTCTTCGCTCTATACTGAAGATCAGATGGCCGGCCGGAAAGAATCACCAACAAGAAACTATGGGAACAAACAAAACAAGAACCAATCTCCCAACAAATATGCAGGAGAAAGTGGAGATGGATTGGACACTCGCTGAGGAGACCACTGGGTGACATCGCGCGTCAGGCCCTCGAGTGGGACCCGAAAGGGAAGCGACGAGTGGGATGTCCAAGGGTGACATGGAGGAGATCGTGTGAAGAGGAACTGAAACAGTATGGATTAACATGGATGCAGCTGAAAAGTACAGCAGAAGACAGAAGCAAGTGGAGACGTGTAGTTGAAGCCCCATGTTCCACTAGGAACCCAAGGGAACAATAATATATAATAATAATAATTGCAATGCAAGTACTGAAATATTCGTCCTTCCCCCCATAGGTGGCAGTTGTATTCATAGTAATCCGAATGAGTGTTGTGCGCTTCAGGACTTACATTAACTGAAAGTCAATTGTGCATTATATTTCACTAAATTAAGCAATATACATCAAAACTGTAGTATTACATGAATATAATATACTGTTAGCGCAAGTAAAATCCTAATTATCCTTTCAACTTATAAGTATTAAAAGATATATACATAAATATTTGTCATTACTGATAACCGATGATACATGACAAATCGAACTGATGCAGACAGTTCTGCATCAGTAAGAAACAATAAAAGCTTCTTAATCGAATTAAATGATGTGAATATAATTATTTTACCTGGCTTTCTTCATCATGAATATATATATTTGATACAAACAGCAAATATTTACCGAGAAACAAATTTTTTTTAAATCCACTAAATATTTATCTAAGGTTCAATTAGCGGGTCTCTGGAGTGTAATCAACGTCATATTATACATTTTATGGTGCTGACTGAATCTTATCACTGATCTATAAAAGAATTATTACTGCCACTTACTCTCTACGGAGAGAATTTAGTCGATACTAAGAACTAAACCATTTATCTTGGACAGAATCCACAAGGCGTTTTAACAACACTGTGGCAGCTTCAGTCATATTAGTGAGTCGTTTGGATATCAGTTTCCTTTCCAGGCGTCAATGGCATTATTACGTTAACGTATAACGCATATAACTATGAAGAGATTCAATTTCGAGACTTGAATGGGACAAATTTATTGACACAATAGGCTGTTTTAAAAGTGAAACGTTCGCTGAAATTCCCTTCAGAAACTGAAAACATTCAGTTCATAATGTATGACCCACTTGACAAAATGTAAATACCATCACAAAAAAAGTAGGCAAAAATGCAACAAAATACATAATTCTGTATCATTTGCACACACACACACACAAAAGAAACAATTGGTAGCATTCTATGTATTATACATCCATTCCAGTGATTCACGTCTCTTATGCTGGTGATAATCTCGCCTATAAATGAGAGAAACAGTCGCCAAGGTATTAAGAGATCACCTCAGTCTGGCTGCCGAATACCATAGAAGTTGAAGTGACCAACTCCTAAAAAAACACTACTCAATACCATGCAGTAGTATGTATGCTTTTTGACTGAAATTAGCAGAATTTTCTAAAAAAAAGTAGTGAGAGATTTTTGTTATTATCTGCAACACAATGCCTATTATACAATGGTGATGATTGAAAGGTGAATATATTGTTATTATTATTATTATTATCATTTTGCTTAAGAAGGTGAAATATGTGAGGGTGGAAATGAAATTATACAGTTGATAAGATATTTTATATATTACTCTTTACAATTAGTTTAATTAGAATGTGAATTATTAATGATGATGAGATGATATAGTGGAAGCACGCATATATAACACCACACCTCTGCTTAGGTAATGGAAGTGATCGACTTGGAATATATATATATACATATATACACATTTCTTTGTATACAGCGAAGTAATTACTAATATGATATCACAGTTCTGGTGAAGAAGTAAATATCAATGTAACCTAAGTTCATAATTAGCTTTTAGTAGAAAAATATTAGAATTCTATAAGGTTACTTGATAAACACACTATAGTAAAATACTTTCCACGGATAGTTCATCACATACATTCCTTAATGCTATGAATAAATATAAAAATCTTTAATAAAGGTAAACCTAACTTGTTTAAGTGCTGCTACTGTGTGCAGTACTGTTGTCGAGAGATGTAGTGTTCATTGGGTATATGCCGTTCCACCACACTCATCATTTAGCTTCTACAACACTATCTCTGGCAATAAATATGTGATTCACAGTTATCTATAGATATATATCAGAAACCTGTTTCAGATGACTAACTTCCAAATAAATACGAACAGTGCTGGTTCGGGAATATTTCATTCATGTTAACTCTTAGCATAAACACCATTCAGTCAGTCTCTCTTAGATTTCTAGAAATAATCCTAGAAAAGAACACTGTGAATATTCTCGTATTGCTGTGTTCTCTCTAGGTTGGATAACTGTCCGTCTGGACAACATCTTCAACGAAAACTTCAATGTGATGTAAGCTATAAGAATTCTCTATAGATGAAATATTTCTTTCTTCTCTCTCTCCTGGTGAATTTTACTATGATTGGCTGTACCCGTAGTGAATGCTGTCCAGAAGGACAATATGTATGCCTTTTCAATTTGAGAGCCATCCAGCTTACAGAACACAACAACACGCCCAAAAAAAGACAAACATTCACCTGAACTAGAAAATTTTCACTACATTGGTTGAATGTCAAAAATACTGGCATCGTTTTTTTGTACAGTGAGAGAATAGGAATTCTGAAAGTCACTCTCATTCACTCACTACACGACACAAGTTGCTCTTAAAACAAACAGATAGTATATATGTAGACTAACACAAAAGTTGAATCACCTGTAGGGATAGCACTGACTGACCTAGAAACTATTCAACACGCGGTTATATCTATGGTAACAAACACTTATCGACTGTGTAGATATCTAAATGTACCCGCGAGTAAAATAGCTGTCATTAATCATGGATCGGAAGTAGCTTGATAAAACATGATCAAATATACAGAAATCCTTGGAAAACATACCGAAAATCTACTGCACCATATAGTACCCTTCACACTACCTCGTACAGTAATTTGTAAATGTCACCAGTTATAGACGTTTGAAAATCAAGAGGAGAAGACAAAATAAAGATGCTTTTTGAATGTAGATCGAGTAGTGTGTGCAAAGAAAGTAGTATAGTTAATACAGTGAGTAAAAACACCGAATAGGATTGAAGCACGAAAAAACTCATGAAATCAAATACATATTATGATCATAAAAGGAGGAGAAGAGGTAGAACAGCTACAAATTATTACAGGGAAAATGACAACAGTTTTGACATAATGATGAAGACATCTAGACACCTTCAATGCTAGCCTGAAGATGAAGTCTGCACATCAATTTTCCAGCCGATATTTTCTAAACTTAGATATAAAATAAATTTAGAACAACACATTTAAGCGAACAATATTGTTTTCAATTAGATCTCATCAGGCTTAACTCTAATATGTATACGTTTACAAATAAAAATTCAAATATAAACCAATCATGGTGTTTTGTTTATAGGATAATACGATGGTGAATATAAATTGTGTAATTAGTCATAATAGTAGTAATGATAATGATAATAATAATGGTCTTATCAATAATAAGGATGAGAAAAGTGAGGCAATCTGTGATAACACGAATAATGAAAAACAGCATGATTAAACAAACAACTGTTCAGGTGGAAGTAGTCGATAAAGGCTAGTAAAAACAAATGAACCGATTAAGTAATGTTAGATTGTAAGGGAAGGAAATCAAACACGTTTATAATGAAGATAAGATTAAGGGATGATAAGATAGGGGTTGAAAATATAAACAAAGGGTGGTGTAGAAGTGTAGTTGGTTATGTCTTAGTAGGCCAAGGAAGGGATAATGGCTGTACGAACTGTTTTTGAATACATAGTTTAGGTTTAATAGTTCGAATGACTATCGCCTCAACTGTGTGCAATAAACGAATACGAAGTCTACTGGAAAGATTGGGTGGGATACGATGAATTACTTTGAAGGCTGTCGTTTTCTCGATTACATGACCACTATCAATTAAGTGTAACAAAATTGAGCTACGAATTGTTTTTGTCTGTCCTTTGCCAAACCAGGATGGGAGATGTTCACTAACGCGTTGGTTAAGCTGTCTAGTAGTACGCCTAATATAACTGTCACTGCAGGTGCAGTTGAATTGATAAATGCATATAGATGTGGTAAAACTATGAAGCTTATCCTTCGTTTGCATCCCAATCATTCGTCGGCTAGAGAATGACAAACATAGATGTGCTGCATAAAATGTTCTTCGTATACTC